TACAATCAATATTGTCCAAAATAAATAAATACTTTATTTAGTATCAGGTATAAAACATATCGTATTGTCTAAATGAGGCATCTGTCAAAAACAGTTACACGTATTTTTAAATCCATGATCATGATAATAAAATGTATTCATACCTCGATAACCTTGAGGAACAGTATTTCTGTAGTCTTAAACTATTCATGAGGGATATTTAACCACATGCAGAACCAGCTTTTCCAGGTTGTGCAACCTGAGCTGATCTGTTTTCCTTAGCTCATATCATACATTTTCTCCTATAAACTGTGACAGCCAATCAAGAACATTGATTTTTTATGCTATCCTCACCTTTCGGCCATGGTGTTTGATATAAGATTTATATTGTTACCACGTTGTGAAGTTCATTTGCCACCAAGCTTGAGTTTCATGACAAAAGGCAAAAGGTTTCGTTTAGCTAAGAGACAGACAGATTCCCAGATTTACCAGGATATTTTAAGAACATTATAAAGGTTTAGAAACTTGCTGAATAAATAAGGCAGAATGACCCCTTCTTGTTTGTAAACTTTTTTATGTTCTTATTTTCTTACTAGGACACCTAGACCAGGGAATGCAAACCAACCCAAAAACATGAACAGTTCCATTTCATTTGCTCACCAAAGGGATGGTATTCTTTTCCAACATGAGCTCCACATTTCTGTGTTAATATTTGTGGACAGACTGTCCAAAACTTGAGTTTATGTTTCAGCCAGCCACATCATGTGGTCCCTTTTGACTTTGGAATCAATTAGGTGTTTTTTGGCAGCTGTAAAGTCTTTTCTTTTTGTGTTGTAACTGTATTTATATTGTTACAACACAAAAGACCCGATATTCATGACGGCTACCTGGTGCTACCTGTTTTCATACATATGTTAATAAACTTTGACATTTGGAAGACCTGTGGATTAATATGGAAAATTAAGTTTTCTGAGACTCTGCCATAACCTTGGAATGTGACTTTGAAAATTTGCACTAACATATTGAAAACATTTGTATAAAACCATCAAATTTTTGCTTCACTTTTAAATGTCCCCATTTCCCCACTACATCTTGTCCTCATGCTGGTCAGAGATCCTGAAGAAAACATCAAAACTGTTTTCATCTCTTTAAGACTTTTAGCTGGTATTGAACAGTTTATTTTATCTTGGTTCACATGAAGAAACTCATGAATTAGTCATGTGGTAAATATACTGCACCATGTGTGTAAATATACTGCAAAACTACAGAAATGCAATACATTTCTATCTTTAATTATTAATTATGCTGTGCTATGAAATATAAACTTAAGGAGTCATCTTGTTTTTATTGATGATAAATTAATTGTAGGGCTATATGATGGAAAATGTTTGAGATCTGTTTAGCATTTTGTGTTATAGAAAACACCACAGGTAAAATAATTTATATTTCAGCTTCGTAATACACATCCAAACATAGCAATGTTCATTTAATAACTCTTTTTGCTTAAATCTGAGAACAATAGCATATGTCAGTCTATTGCAGAGGCAGATCTTTTACTCATTGCTTTACCTGTTCAATGGCTTGTGATCTGGCAGTTGCTTTACAAACTGGGAGGGCACCTGAAATCCCTGTGCAGCAGCTCTGCAGGCATGATAGACTAAATGTGGATGATAAATATACCAGGTACTGATTTCTCTCAACCTGTTTACAAACACTGAAATAAAGTCTAGCAAATATTTACTTTTTCACGAGTGTCTATTTACATTATAATGCATTAATTTAAAGACAATATTATTTGACAATATTTGAAAATGAGGGGAAGAATGCGATTCTTATGAAAAATAAAAGATCACATCACATGCATTTTTTCCACAAACTGGTGTTATAAACAGTGAGATTTAGTGGTGATACTGCAAGTCGAATTAGATGTAATACACATAATACACAGTTAAGGAATTTATTGAGTTAAAACTTTTTATCAAGAGACTTTTATTCCTGGGGTATCCAGATTAACACTCAAACAAATAGAGCCTTGAGAATCTAGTTCTCCTGTCTACTAATTGGACTGTATGGGGAATTTTCCCTCTAAAAACATACCCCTCTAAGGAGTTACTGTAGCTGCTAACTGCACCCAATCCTCTCTCTATCCCCTCCTCTGCTTCCTGAGCACGAACAGACAAATGCACACAATCACAAGTACTGTACATGCACAGTCTGACAAATGCACACACACAAGCAGTACACACGTGTGTGCACACACGCATGCGCATGTACTGTAGATGTGCACAAGTTCAGACACACTTAGTGCCTGGGGATGTCAAGGCAGATTGATCTGTTTAAGGGTTCCTCTTCAAGGAGGAATTTCAGATTCTGCTTCATCCATCAACACAATGCTATCGGTGGTTATCAGAGCTTGTCAGGATAAAGGCGGTATTTTTTTGTCTGTTTGTTTTTTGAGCCTTTCACCACAGTTCCTTTTAGTATAATTAAGGCTCACTGATTATAATTCATCCCTTACCTACACAATCCCTAGTTCTAACAAAGCAGAATGGCACTGAGGTACAGTATGTACACAAATCATTGTATTTCTAGATGATATCAGTTATGAGGGCTTTAGATAAGAAACATGGGAACAAAATGGAACCTTTTCTAAAAGGAATTCTATTTTCTTTTACACACTACTCTTTTCTTGCGTTTTCTATTTTAAAATATGAAATTCCAGCTATAGGGCTAATTTTTGCTAAAGTATTTTATGACATACTGCATGTGAATGTCTTGTGTGTGGTTAAGCAATACATTACCTCTTAAACCCACCATCTGACACACGTACTTTTTATTACAACAGTTATGGGTTATATAAAACTTGTAGGTTAGTATAATATTTATCTATATTGTGAGTAGAATATTTCCTTCATTATTTTTTCAGGTTACTCCAGTCACAATTGAATGTAAAATGACATAACAAAACTATTATTAATTAAAAATGTATACACAAAATGAAATATAAAAGCCAACCCACATCTATGCAACCTCTTCTGCCCTATCCCAAAGCAGTACAGAAAATACAATAAACAGACGCATAGACGAAGAGACCTCTAGAGATATACGTGATAACCTGTGATGTCTGTGCACAACAACTGGATGACAGGCTTTAACCTAGAAGAACAGGCCAGAAAATAAAAACTATCCCAAATTAATATGTAAGGGACTCATTATACACGAAGCATAGAAGAGACTAAAACGTTATGACAAGAATGGAAATCAGTTTTCCAAAACATTTAAGCAACAGCAATTCCACATTCCACAGCCAGGGTCAAAAACATTACACCCCCCACCTTAAGTCTCCAACAGGAAAGAATGGTTCCTCCAAGTTTATTTTCTATTTCCTATCCCTTCGTTATTTATCGATATTATAATAGATACACATATACATGGTATAAACCTTTCCTTCTTTACTGTTGTACTGTTATAACCATAAATGTCTGTTTGATCATGTTTCTGCCTTACCCTTAAGAACACCACCGGTGCTGCGCATCGCTAAGAGCCTATTATACTTTACTTAATTTATAATAGGCATTCCGGCAACGGCATCTCATCTCTGTGCACATCCGATAGAACTACACACGATCTCGCTAATGTTATTAATTGACATCAATACTTTTTTTCCAATGATTTTACAAGAAATATTTAGTAACTAGGGGGACTCTTTCGTCACTTGCTTGTATAACATTTTAATGATCATTAATTGATGATTATTCATTCATGAGTGTCAGACTGGGATGGGAAGGAAAGTGGAGCGATTATCCTTTCTTAGGTTCATTTGGTGTGTGTTTTTAATCAACCGATTTAACTAACAACTAAACGTGACTGTCATAAATATATATATCATGCATAAATTTAAGTAAAACAGGCAAAGTTTGTTCGTTTTTGACGTTACTTTTGGCGTTTCATATAGCCTTCTTACAGGCGAAACAAACACTAAATTCCAACAATAGATTCTCATACACCTTTAAAATCGATTCACCTAATTTTTATTAAAATATTACTAATATATTTTATATAGTATTAATACATTAGAATGATCGTTGCATCAGTGTGGTGTTAAACCCTTGGGAAAAGCGCTTCCCTTTTTCTAAAATAATCTACTCCATAAATTAATAAGCGCAGCTGGAAAAGCAGCGCACAGTAAGAGAACAGTCTTTGTGCTTCCTCAAAACGAGCGTCAAATGCAGTTAAAAGAATTCACAGAATGCGTCACGAGTTCAGAGATGATTAATTGAGTTTTGACACCCATTCTGGCTAGTGTTGAATTAAACCCCCCCAAAAAAAAACAATAAAGCGCTTGTATTGCCCGAATATCTACACGCGTACTAACACGCACTGCTTGTCATCGCGTGCTTTTACTGAGAAAAAAAAAATATGGGATTTATCTGATTAATGTTAACTGCTTGGTTTTTAAAAAAAACAACAACAACCAAACACAGTAAGATTAAAAATGACTGATTCTGACGCTTCTGGGGCTTCATTAATGAGAAAGGAACCTCCACGGCACTCTGTTAGTGTGTGGCACAGGAGGGTGAAAGCCGATGCATTTATTAATTGGATGCCAGAGAAAAACAGCATGCCGCTGCGGTCCCAATACCTCTACGTCGCAGGTCTGCATTTATGTCAAATCAGAGTAATTGTCCTTGCACTCTCTAGGTAGTCAACTCGACTCTTGCCGTAGCCTGTTAAGATAGGTCGTGGGGTTCCCAGCGATGGCTGCGGGTATCTGTCCCCTGGCTTGCTGGTCCTAGCCTCCACGGAGCTCGCCCGGTCTGTGGAGTACTGGAAGAGCACTGAGCGACGCTGACGGGGGATCGGGGAGCTCGCAGCGAGAGCCTCGCAGACCTGCATCCCTCTCACCCAATCAGATCCGAGGCTGACTGCCCCCGCTCCTCCCTTGCCAGGCTCCGCGGTCATGTGATCATAACCAGGCTGGAAACCTGCTGCTCGCATCCAGTGAAACAGAGTAGGCGAGATACAGAGCGAAGAGGGAGAGCGCCGTCTCATCCAGCAACTTAAGAGAGTCGGTTTGAGCACATACAAGTACAGACCGGCCGAGAGGTTTGCTCTACATGGCTTGTCTCCTTAGAGGAACTTACAACATCTGCAGCAGCCTTCTTGCCTTTGGATTTATTAACGTGTTGAATTGTGTATTTTTCCTGGCTTTTTTTAATGAATAGCGCTTTATTTTGACATCCTACTTGCCTGCTTCCTAACCTAACACCCTTCTGGTCACCTAAACACCCAATCCCCAAACCCCATCCCACAACCATCACCCCCTAACCCCACGACATCACACAGCAACACCCCAACTCGGGCGGATTCGTCTGTACTTCATGGGGCTCTCTGCCTTGCTCGGAAGATGCGGGTTTTTTCGCAGCTGAGCACTCCACTACCACTTGTGCAAGGATCGGAGTTGCTGGTGCATGTCTGCGTTTTCTGTCCGCGTCGCTTTTCTTTTGGAGGGACGCAGCTGAACTGAAATGGGCTTCTCGGCGACAGCGCTACAAGAGCCTAGACGCCGGCAGCAGTGGAACAGGAGGACACTGGGAGATAGGGTTTTTATCGCCTTGGTAACATTTATAACGACTTTACCTGTTCACCAACTTCGCGCTTTCCCTACCTCCCTGAGCGACTGCCAAACACCCACAGGATGGAACTGCTCCGGTAAGAGACCCTGGGAGTCTTTATAAAGCGAAACACACCCGTAGACCAGCGCTTCATGTAGCGTGTGCGTGAATGTGAGCGACTGTGAAACCCTCAAAGCAAGAATGAATTGGTCATTAATGAAAGTTATTATGGAATCACATGTATTTCAGCATATGACAAAGTCACTGCTAACACACACACAGACTATCTGTTATCAGTATGCATCATTTTGTTTGTGTGCTCTAGCGCTGTGACATGAATTAGAGATTATTTGGGGGTACTCTTTACGTCTCACATTTTTTTGGGATCTGGAAAATGATCAAGGCAGTGGCAGGGTGCTGAGGAAAAAGCACATTGAAAGGAACAGGTCTCCAGTCTAAAATACAGCATACTATGAAGAATAGCGATATTATTCATGATAAAATCTACATTTTTCGATGTTTGTAGTTTGCAATTATTGTGATTATGTCCACTTAATTTATTGTAGTTACCTTGAGGAATCATGTAACATTTAAATTGTATTTTTGTGCAGATTATATTTCAGATTGTTGTTGTACAGAGGATTTAGAGGATTAGCATAGCCCTTATGCAGACTGACAGTTTTGGGAACTTTAAACTGTTGTTGTAATATAGCCCCTCAACGGATTTTAGGGCCGAAATCCTGAAATCTTTAAATATTTCTGTACAGCTGTGGACCAATAATGATGCATTAGACAAGCTTATGAATTCGACTCACGGCCAAACCTGCTTTTTGTTAAACCCCTTTTCGCAAAGCTACAAAGCTAAATTTCTACAATTATGGATGTCTCAGAAAAGTGTTTTTTTTAACACGATAAACCTTATATAAGCAGAAGACTTTCTTAGGTAATAACTCGCGAAGAAAATTAAAATAATTTACCTTCTTTAAAAAGTTATTTACGAGTCTTTATACTGAGGATATTGTTAAATTAAATTACACTCCAAACTGTAGTCAGGTCAGTCTCAGCTTGGCTAGGACTAGATATAACGTTAGACTAAATCAGCCGAGTTTGCCTTATGGGGATTCAAGAAACAACTACAGAATTAGAATTCCAAACAAATAAGTATCGGCGCCAGTTAACCAAACTCCCTATAAATTCTTATAATAAGGTAGTGTTACAATTGAATTTACTGTGACTCCGGGACTCCCAGGTTATTTATTAGAAGCAGCGACAATATATGACAAAATATTAAATCACAGCAGCTTAAATTTGATCTATATGATATTTTGCTGGAGCATTGTGATAACGGCATTTAGTATCCGGAGGTGTCGTTGAGAATCACAGCTTAGGGTACCAAGCGGTGTGTATGTGTGAAACACAATTACCGCTTCTGGAAGCTTTTGTGGTTGTTACACTAGGCAGCGAAAACACCGGCGGGTACCGTGCAACTGAAAGTTTTTCCTCACGTTTCTGCACCCAACTCACCTATACCGCGGTGTTTACTTTATTATGGTTTCATTTATTGACAGCATCCTCTCGGCTTTAAACCTCCTCGCCTCTCCTGTCTGTAGTTCGTGTTTATTTATTTCCTCAACTCTATAAAAGTTACCGCAAGGGTAATAAAACATGTCCGCGACGGGTTTCCTTGTAAATCACTTGCTGCTTCTGTTTATTTTCCCGCAACAACAGGCCGGAGTTTGAAGTCGGCTGGACCCCGGATTGCTTACAATGTGATAAAAGAAACCCCTGCACGCTGTAGGATGTCAGTGTCGAACAATGGAAATATGATTTATTGATAGTAGTAGCCTATGCTTCAAATAGGACATTGATCAGAGCGTAAGGGAGTGCAAAGGTGAAAGCCTAAAATCTGTATCGCTTCATTCACATTGTGTGGATGTTTCTGTCTTATCAAGTCAAAAAACATAAAATACCATACAATTTGTATAATGCACGCGGTTAATACACAATCCGATAGTAGATTACTCAGAAGGGCAATGATAAAATAATTTTGAATTTCTCCATGGAACTGTGGAATCCCGCCTTTAATAGTCTTGGAGAATGATTGCGCGTGTTTTAATTTGTTTTAATGTCTGAAATATGTTCATTGATGCAACAAATTGAGGACCTATAGTGCCTACAGCGTAGATTTTTCAGTAGCCTACAGTTCAAGAAAAAGACACATTTTAATCATGTTTGAGTATTAAGTTACTTGCTAGCCTTGTAACTCAATGATTTTACGATTATTCCGCTTCTCATCGTTAACACCATTTCTTTTTTTTTTTGAGAAAAAATGGGTGTACAAATTAAGGACCAACCAGATATTAATCTTGAAATTGGTGATTGACAACCGGGCAGGTGTCCTGTAGGATACCCAGTACTGGGGCAACTTGTGGCGCCTACTCCACCGCATTGCATTCTAATTTAGAACCTACGGGGTCTTTAATTAGGCCCCATAAAATTAATTGAAGCAATTAAGTTTCTAGAGGAGTACACTCTGCAGAGGAATGCGGTCTTGCGGTCGAAACAGTGCAGAAATTAAACCAGAAAAATGAAATTTTAATTATACAGGTTAAGACTAGGGATCTATCATTTAATAATAATACATACCTTATAAGTATATATGTCCTAGTTTCACAAATCCATAGAACAAAGAATTTTCCCAAATGAAATGTGTTAAGTCACTTTCTAGGAATACTTCACTAAATGAGGAAGATCTTTTCAGTGGCTAGGCTCATGTAGAGTGACAAGTATCTCTGATTAGCCTGCTTGTTCTACAGTCTTAACTGAAGTTACCATTCTGGCGTGCGCTGATTGTGTTGTTCTAATTCCGCTTATTAAAAAACAATTTAATGACCACGAGAGGCATTAATTACCCCCTGAGCTGTATTTATTTATTTGCAGCTGAGACAGTTTTCTAGCTTTACTTTTTTTATCAAAGGCTATCAGGAACGAATGGGGAGAAGATGAGGCGAGGTTTAATACCTTTCAGTCTTCTTTGTGATAATGTGGTGGCTGCCGCTGGTTACAGCACTGAAGCTGCTGCGCGAGCAATTAACTTTCGGGAGTCTGCGAACCGTAAACCTAGACTGCAGGGCCGAGGTTGAATCGAGAAGAAGGAAAAGTTGCTAATTGCTCGCAATGATAGAAGCGAGAATCGACTGACGCTTAAGTCGGGCAGGTAAAATTCAGTCGATCGACCTCAAACGGTAGCTATTTTAATTGAGGCTGTGGAACGCCTTCCCCTTTCCGCTCCTGTCATGTGATTCTTGCGAAATACGGACAGCCTCGTCTTATCTGTTTTCTACCTAGCCTGCTACGGAGACTGATTGTGATAAGACAGTAATCTGATACCCCCCTTTTCTTCAGTCGAGACAATTAAAAAGTTGGTGGAGTATATTATTAAAACCTTAAAATATGCATGAGGTCAAATGGATCTGTTTGCTGTCTTTAAAACAATAATGGGGAGCGGTGATGCAGGAGGATATTTGGCTGGTGTAGCTGGCACAATGCCCCGATTGTAGAGAAAAGCAATTCAGACCCCTTCAGCCAGTGCAGTTTAGGAATCTGGCTACCTGTGTAATTCAATTATAGACATATCACTGTTTTAATATTTTATGCTTGCCAACTTGTTTTGTTAAATTATTCATTTCACTTTCAATTCTCAGCTGAACTATTCAGTAACTCTTCTCATTCTGCATTTTATTTTATGTTTCATTATTACCAGCAGCAAATGTTCTGTATGTTTATTAGCATTTTAAGGTGCTTTCTTCAAGAAAAATAATGCGGTATCGGTAACTGATATGTGAATATTGCCATCTGTTTACAAAACCCATCCAAAGATTGGATTGTTATGGGTCAAAAACGTGAAGTATGGTAATTATTGCAATTTCAGATGTACTGTTTCCAGCTGGAATGTGCTAAAATAAATATTAAATACAAGCTGTACAATTTTCTATTCTCAAAATAACGTTACAGCAATGAAATGTATCAGCTAAAGTATATTTGCTGCCTAGATGTACAATATTTTATGAGGGTTTCACCTTAACACCAACCAGTCCAAACTACTTTGCAGATTATCCACACTGCATTAAATGTGAATTTCTTAATATCAGCAAGTTCAGAAATTTATTGTGAAACAGTAAGCGTTAGCAACAAGTTTAGTTACTGTATATGAACTGGCCTTAAGCAAATTGAAAATCAGTGAAGAAGCTGAAGTGTTTTTTCTTAATTCTTTTTAAGACTTCTTAGGTCTTTAAAAAATGTTGTCCTTTGACAATTTTAAAAGTAGCCTGCAAATTGAATTAATTTCACTCGGAATTAAAGACACTGCATTATAGCTGGAGTACAATAAGCCTGGAGGTCATTAATGATTAACCTTGTGTGTCCAGAGATTAATTCTAAGGTTATTTATCTTCCTTTACTTCTCACATACAAATGGAAAAAAAGAACTGGCTTTATTTTCTATTAATGCACCATTGTTCTCAGTGGAAATGATCACAATGCGTAATACAAACACATTTTCAAAAATCAGTAAAATCTATATAAAGCAAACGTGTTACAAACATCATCTGTGTATATTTTCAAATTATAAAACTACAGACAAGGGAGTATTTAATGATCATAAATGATGGAAAAATGCTAGAACACAGTAAGATACTTATTGGCTTAAGCAATCAAAAGAGAAAGCATATGTCAGAATTAAACCAAGTGATATTTTGTAAACATTGTACAATGAATGCCCTACACAAACAGACAAAAAGAACTAAATGGAAGTTATTAACTGACATTTGGAAGGGATATCAACAACAAGTCAATCTCACACAGTTGTTCCTAATCATATTCATTCTGGAAATAAACTGCAATATATACGAAACACAAACACTTTCTTTGGCATGTACACCTCCTCCATCCCATCCCCATCATCTTGCAGCTTGGTTACTCCTTGGTTAACTCCTCTCTATGAATGAGGTTCAAGCCTCATCATCCTATGGCCAAGAGGCTGCCACTTAACCTAGCGGTTTAAGCCCAACCTATCTTACAAATAATTCAAGCATTGAC